ATAAGCTAGCAAACAAAACCTATGTTCAGGGGCAGCTAAAACTGTTTGAAGGCACCCCGTCCATCCCCATGGAAATAAGAAGTGAAGAGGAAACACTAGTGCACTCCTTTCCATCTTTGTATTGCCTGCAACACTGTCCATAACAAACGTCTATCCAAAAGCTATACATACTCCAGCTCCATCCAGCTGGGGGTCAAAATGCAAAACCTTAATAGGGACCTCATGTGTTATATCAGCAGATTTAGCACTGTCCCAAATTCTGTGCACTGGGGATGTTTTTGTACCTTAACACTGCTGAGGTCACTGCTAAAGGTCTCAGTGCGGAGGTAAGCAGTGATAACAGGCCAGGCCAAAGACTGAGCCATTGCTCTGAGGGCTGGGCATGGATAAATTTCTGTGGGTGCTTTGGGGAGCAGATATGGGTCAGGGAGATAGATTACCCAAGGCTCTGGATAACGTAGCATGGTGCTGGGGTTGTCATGACGACCCCATGTCATTCACGACAAACACCCTACCACAAATGAGACAAGAGCTGCAGATGGAAGACCCTGCAGCCAGCCCCGTCTGCGAAGGTGATCCAAATTCAGTGTACGAGCAGCATCAGCACTTGGCGTGTCACCAGACGGGCTGCTGCCACCTCCAGGGTTGTTTCCCGGGACCTGCTGTCTGCCACATGTTTACACAACTCTGCTGCAGGGGAGGCAGTCTCTCTCTCACCATCCTGCTGAGCATCCCGAGGGGAAGTCTTTATTCCTGTGAGTGCTCCAGGACTGCACAGTAGGCGTGGACAGTTTGTTTTACAGTGTGTTCCCGGCCAGGAGAGCATTACTAAAGACCCCTCCAAAGCCAAACGCTGTGATGTAAAGAGCCCCCTGTTTTTTCAACACTCGAAATGCAGTTGAGCAGTTGTGGGGGGACTTGAGCTGATTGTTCCAGTCATGGCTTTGGTGTCATAATGAGCCATCTCAAAGGAGAATGATGATAATACTTTGGAGTTACACCATGGTTTCATCTGAGCATCCCAAAGCACTTTAACAAACATCCCCTAACTCAAAATCTAGTCGGTTTAAGAATGAAAAAAAATTAGACGTAGTTTAAGGTGCCACCTCTGCACCTGAATCCCCTTCTGGTTCAATCACACTCTCCTCTTTGATAAAAATATCTTTTCCCCTTCTCTGCTGCTGCAGGAAAGACCCACACAACCAGGAAGTAACTAGAGAGTGGAAGCTCTTAAACAGACTCTACGTGCAATGCTGGTAAAGTGCACAAAGCAAGCAGACTGAAAAGAAGAGAGAAACCTTTGCCACTCCTGCAATCTCTTGCTGTCACAATGCCTCAGCAGGAGTGGAATCGGCATGGTGCTATGAACACTGATGGAGCAATGCCGATTTCTACCTGCTGGGGATCTGGCCACAGGGATATGGTGACAAAGACAAGTAACACATTTTCAGACGTGTGATCTCTAAGTTGGACACATGCCTTGAAGCTCCTCCAGCCATTCTTGGGAATTATTAGTATTATTATTTGTATTACTGTAATGCTTCAGAGCCCGTCATGGACAGGACCCCATTGTGCTAGGCACTGTACGTGGCAGATGTTATTATCCGCCTTTAACCTATGGGGAAATAGCGAAGGGAAGTGATTTTCCCTCGGCTGCACAGTGAGTCAGTGGCATAGCTGGAGATAGAACCAGGTGAGTTCTGACTCCCAGCCCCAGATCTAATCACTGGACAACAATATTTCACCTCTTTCATCAGCTCCTTCCCTCTCAATTCCCCTCCCTTCTCTTCTCCCAGGGGTTCGTATTGACTATTGACAAACAGCACCATTATGATGTGCACTAAAGCTTGTGGTGGAACAAAAATTACAGGCTTTTAAACTGCGAAGCAGCAATTTCTGATGCAATGCTATCAGTGCTTGGCACAACTATCCCAAAGCACATCACTTGGGCGGCAAAGCTTGAGAGGTTTATGGGAGCTGGGAGGGTGAAGGATATAATCCCTAATGGTATTGCACTAACTCTTCTCAGCTAGGAAGGGCTGCATCAGTGTGATGGACTCCCGGATAAGCAGATTATCTCATCCACCCTCACAAAAGAAGCCTGACCCCTAATTTGTTAAGTCCAAAGATTAATGCTGAGTTAACCTCTAACAAACAGTTTAGAGACAGAGGTGGCAATGGGGCTCAGCACAGAGGAATTTCTCAGTGTCCTGTGGCACCAAATAGGAATCACACCAGGGTGATTCAGGTCCTCGGGCACAGGCTATTGTCTCTCTCGGTGGATTGTTTTGGGGAGGGTTATAATTTTTCACCACCGGACAGAGGTACTGTGGATTGGAAGTCAGTTGATTAGTTTTCTCTCCAGTGGGCAGCGTGCATTTAGGGGAGCTGTGCAGAAACACCGGCTGGGTCTTCCTTTCTCTGGCATCAGGGGCTTTCAATACAAGCGTTAGTTCTTTTTACTTTCTAGGTAGGGATACCGACCCGAGGGACTGGTAGGTTACAAACGTTACACTGTTGGGCCTCTGAGGCTGTAGAGCCAAATCTGAGTCTCAAATGCAAACCCAGGAGAAACTTTTCAACTCCTTTGGGCCCAAGTCACCATTTCCCTGCAATGAGGGTGCATTCCCTCATTCATGCATTCCCCAGTGCAAAGAGGGTGAAAATCATCGTCCCCGTGAGTCAGCAGCATTGTGCACTAATGGTCACACTCCACCACTCCAGATACAATGATTTTTTGCCCCAGGACTTCAGGGCATTAGAACCTATAATCTGTATAAGGCACAAAAGCAAAACCCATTGACTTCCTGAGCTGTCCATCTCCCACCAGCAGCTCCTATCTGTCTCCTAAGATATCTGGCTCACCACAGGATTCTCTTTGCTTTAATGGTTACACTTCTATGTCTGCAAAAGAAAACTTGAGAAAAGCCCCATGAACTGTTGGAGGGTGACTTTGGTTTATATATATATATATTTTAAGTGTGTGACAATCTCATTCGGTCTTATCTGACCAAACCTTGGAAAGACATCCCAGAGAGCAGGGGCATCTCAGCACTGCATCTGGAAATGCTCGCAGAGCTGATGCTGCGCTCAGAGACAAGAAATCACCTTGGAGTCCAAAGACTTGGAAAGGAGATAGTCACCTTGGAAACGAGGAGTGATGGCCGTGCACGGAACTCTGGCCTCCACTTCCTCAGCCCATTGGGAAAGGGAACCACAGCCCGGTTGGGGAGGGAAGGATGTGAAGGATGACCCAGTGAATGAGGACTGGGTCAGAGGTAGCTGGTGCACACATGGAAAAAAGCTGAGTTCCAGCCTTACTTAACAGAAGTCCCGAATGCTTCACTTGAACAAGACAAACACTTCTAATTGTGTGTGTGTGTGTTTAATATTAAAGTGCGGTTCCACTCCAAAATGTGGCTATGAAGCCCAGTTTTCTGACTACACTTTGATTTTTATTAATTGAATCATTATTCACAATTGTTGGGTGACGAGTTTATCCAGTTTGCAGCCTATGGGGTGGGCCTCACACTCTTCATTCATGGCATGTCACTGGTCTCTTAAGTCACCTAGTATTGTTTCCGTTCCTGATTGGGTGACTGAAACTTTTTAAACTGGGTAACACGCAGCAAGCATTGAATATGTTTGTTCACACACAAGCCCCACATGGACCGAAGATTCCCCATACCTCTGTATGAACACACCTCATTCATGCAGTGACTAAATACAGTAATAATATAGATACTACTTTGTCTTTGTACAGGGGGCAAACGTGCCTCTTGTGACCAGTTGTTTGGGAGGCCAAGGAGTGTTTGCAAGCATCATTTAGCAGCCTTCATCTAGCTATTGTAATGGGGCTATTGGCATTCAACTCAGAGGGCCAAGTTCATCCCTGACATGACTCCACTGCAGCTAATTGTAATTACAGAGGCATTAATTGGAGAGGCCCTCAGTTGATGTCAATCAGCAAAGCTCCATTGAAGTCGTTGGAGCTATACCAATTTACATGATCTGTCCAATGGATTTACACCAAGGATAACTTTGACCCATCACATTAAAGTTCACTTGCTGTCCTGCAGGGAACACACAATTGGAACCACTGACCGGACCAGCAAACCTAGCCTTTGGTGTATTGGTAAGCCATCGGTGGTTGGAACGTAATAATATGTCCCTTTAAACCTGATAACCCTGGCAGTCCTCAACCTGTTACATACAATAAAACCTGTTCCTGGATCAGTAAAACACTCTCGCATGGGGCGAGTTTGCACCACAAGCCAATACAATACTTCGTGAGCTCTTTCCCAAGGAAATCTGGAGTGCACTGGCAACAGTACCAAATGTCTGGAGCTGTCAGAGAGATTTCATCACCCAGGAACTTGACATTTCCGTAACAGGAGATCCAGAGATAAAAGTTGTCACTTCAAGTTTGTTCGCCCCCCCCCCCCCCGCCAACCCCCAGTGATACGATTGGGATCATCTGGTAGTACAGAGGCTGAATTCTCTTACTGCTGCTGCTTTTTTATAACAAAAAAATGACTTAGAATTGATGATTCCTGGTATGAAGCAGTTTGTCACCTGTGCTTTTATGATTACAGCAACTAAGGGGAAAAAGATGTCCTTTCAGATAAGCATTTGAAAGGGGGAAAAATAGAAGCTTTCAAAGGGTCTTTGTTCTCTTGAAGTGCTCTCGCTCCAGAAGCCTGGCAGATTTCTCTGGAGGAGGGGAAGGAGGTGGAATTTAAAAACAAAATGCGTTCTCGTTTTCAAACTGTTTCATATTAGCAGTCATCAATTATGGAATTTGCCTTGACTAATGTTTCAGGCCATTATATCACCCTCGATGTTTATAATTGGATCCTAAATTAGGATTAATTCTCAAGGAAAAGGTTCCATGCTAAACAGGTTGTTTCGCTCTCTGTGGAACTCCCGGTGACATTCTCGTTACTAAAATAATCATTTGCTTTTTAACATTTATATGGAGAGATAAAAAAACGGCTAACCTTTTTCAAACGCTCTACAATCCCGGCTTAGGTCACTGTGGGGAATGAGGCTGGTGGCTCATGTCATCTTAGTTGTTCGTAGTGACAGGTGCCAACTGCAGCATCACAGCACTTGGGTTTGGAGTTGGTTCTGTTTTAGAAGGAGGTGCAGGCTACAAGTTTGGGTCAGGAAGAAAAGATTGATACCAATCATCCCAAGACAGAATAGTCCATGGAGATGGGGTCACACTCCACGTGGATCCTAGTGAAATGTGCTGGCTGGGGTTGCCCAGAATGCCGCTGCCTGGAAGACAAATCACACGGATCAGGGCTGTCAATGTGGCCTTTCTCACAGGCATCATGTTCACTTTTCAGTTACATTTTTTGCAGCTGCTAAACATGAAACAGGGAGGTGACAAAGGGCAGGAAGAAAAGTCATCCTTGTGGCCTTAATGAATGTGAGTGTCACTATCATTGGAGCTCAGAAGGAGCGCCTTCCCCGAATACTTATCCTTCCTCGTTGATATGCATCCCACCAGCCAGGGCCAGTCCCTCTGCCAGGGTTGATGGCTTGTGTTTGCAGAGTTGGGGCACATCTAAATAAAAGCCTAGGCCCTACAGTCTGATCTGTTTGTCTCACGGAGATAACAGATGAGCCTTTGCCACTCTGACAGCGCGAGGCCGCACACAAAGGGTGACCTTTAGTGTGCCATTAATTTACAGACCAACCCAATTTCCAGTCTCACTCGAGGGCATAATCACATCAATTAAAGCCTTTCATTTTGAAATTCTCCCTATGAGCCTGATATAAGAGGCAAACCGCAGTGAGTGTGTGTGTGTGTGTGTGAGAGAGAGAGAGAGAGAGAGAGAGAAGGGGGGACCAGAGAGACAGTTAGAAGCTGCTTCGTTGCTATTTGACAGGGTTTAGGCAGATAAGCGTAACATCGGGAGGAAATGGGGGAAACCCCAGCGTGGATTAAATGAGAACCAACTCAGTGAACCCAAACGCAACCTTTGGTGACAAGAGTGGTGCTTTGGCGAATTGCAGGAGGCTGTGAAAGAAACCGGTAACACAAGAGTCCCAGGACACGTGCCTAGAGCTTAGAGAACTGGCTCATGGTTAGAGGGGACAGGAGTTGTGAGACAAGTGTTGGAACCAGGATTGTCCTTGGCTGAGCTGAATGTTATAATAATTGATGGGGGGATGACAAACAATTGACTAGTTGTTACTAGATGAAAGTTCAGAGGAAGGAGAAGGTGCTGGTGACCATGTAAGAAAAGTGTTTTCCTTTCCAAAGGCCTTTCATAGAACCCTTGACAATGCTAACTCGGAAACCGAAAGAGAGAGTGCTCCTTTGGAAACACACTGCCTGATTCACCCCTCCATTGCGAGCCTGAAACTGTAGCATTCAGCGATGCTTCCCTGGAGAGGCCTGTCCTGATTTACCACAATAGAGATTGGAATTTCCCAACCTGCTGGGAAAAGTTTTGCCTCCTACCAGAGGTCTGCTCTGAGATGAGATGGGGTGTTGGTCCTTCAAAGTGTTCTAATGCTGGGACAGATGTGCCCTATTGTTTCCCTGTAGCAGCAATTAAGAGTGAATGAGTACTAGTCATGTGACTAAGATCCCTAGTTTCCCATGCTACTGGCCTACTTCTCTATATCAGAGACACGGGTACCCAAAGTTGGCCTCTGAGCTGCCGTGATGTCACCATGCTGCTCTTCAGATATAAACCGGGGCTGGGAAGCCAAGGCAGGGAGAGGCCATGTTCAGAGACCCAAAACCTCCCTACTGAGGCTGGGAAGGCAGAGCTGGAGCGAGCCCTGCTCTAAGCTCTACAACATGTGCCTAAGGAACAGACATAGGCCCCAGGAGATCTGGGCTCTACGCCTGGCTTTGGCAGTGACTGACTGTCTGAATTGGGCAGTCTCTTACCCTTTCAGTGTCCCAGTTTTACCATCTTTAAAATGGAAACAATGAGATGTCACTACCTCACAGAGAGGTTGTGAGGCCAAAATTAGTCCAGGTGAATTTCTGATTCCTTTTCCGACACTGGGTAGCACCTTGCTTGGTGAATTGTCCCATTGATTTCATCTGGTCTGATAGAAGAGTCCTCAATAAGCCAGAGTCTCCTCTTTCTCATCCCTATTTTACATCAGTATCACTCCACCCACTCCAACGGCGTTACCCCTGATTTACAACAGTATAAGGGAGAGAAGAACCAGGCCCATTGTGGGTCGGGGTAGAACAATCAGTCCCTGATCATCAAACAGCTTGTACTAGCATAAAAGCCGTGACCGATTTTTACATCTAGTTAGTTAAACCAGTGGAGTTATACGTCTGGACATGCACGTCTCGGTTAAATCTAGCTCCACTGCAAGTTAAACCAATATAACCCAGATTTAAAATGATAAAAGAAAATCTACATGGGGTTTTCACCAGTTTAACCAAAGAATCTTTAAAACTGATTTGGGAACATAGGACTTCAGACTGGACAGCATCTCCTGGGTCAACAAGTCCGTTCCCTGCTATTGCAGGGAAACCCTGTTTGTCTGTATGTAGACAAGGCCTGGGTGCAAGTCACTAGAGGGGGCAAAGTGGTGTTAGCAATGTTGACTCCATCTTCCACCCAGTGCTATCACCATGATAGCGTTTGTAATGCAGTTTACAGCCCTTCCGAATGACTTTACAGTGAGGCATTGTTATTATTTACTAAACAGGTTGTGTATTCCTTAACAGAAATTTCATTAGGAGCATTAGGTAGAGATAGTCACCAGCCCAGAACCTACACGTAATTATGTGTAATTATTATGCCTGTATGTTTGGAATAATGATCGCTCCTGAGCTCTGAGGCCAAGAAGCAGAGTCAATTGGAACGGGAGCTATTTATTTTTTCTTTAACCGTTTTCTTCCACTCTTAATTTGTTTTCACATCTCTTAACGAGCGGTAAGTGATTGCAAGTGATGCCTAGCAGCGTCTGACCCCCCATTTCTCCTTTATTTGTAAAGCCGGAGAATTACTAAAACCGTGGGTGAGAGAAAGGGGAGGGGCTTTGCCTGAACACATCTCAAACCCGCAGGGGCTGCACAGTGACAACAGAATAAGTGGGAGGAGAGCGTGTGGCTATGTGCCTCCATGACTGTCTGCTCCTGCTGTTACAGTGAATATGAAGGAGAAAACACATCAGGAAGTGGAATGGCCCCAGGAGGTGGAATGGCCTACTGGATCGGTATATTTATTAAAAAAAAAAACTACCAAAACAAGATGCTCCACTGCACACACTTCTGGACAAATTTGTGACAGATGTGCAGTCATGTTGCTTAATGCACTATTGGAAGGTGCTCAGATACCATGGTGATGGGCATGGTAAGAAAAACTATCTAGACTAGACTGGAACAGGCAGGGCCTTGGAATCTGAGTCAGGAAACCTAGGTTTGTTCCCAACTCTGCTGTGTCCCAGGCAAATCATTTCCTCTCTTTGTGCCTCTGTTTCCACTCCCATCCTTTGTCTGTCTACTCTGATTGGCAGCTCTTTGGGGTGGGAGGGTCCCTGGGGGTGGGGTGTACAGCGCAAGCAGAGCTGGGGTTTTAGGTGGTACTGTAATAATATTCATAACAACATGGTTCTTGTATAGATGATAAGCTGCAAGGTGACCAGCGGGAGTTTTCAGAGGAGAGACTTCACTGCGTAAATATATTTGTTTTGCTCTTAGCCAAGGAAGCTCCTGCACACCCATTCCTTGGAGAAATGATCTGTCTGCATTGATTCTATTCGCTCGGTGCTGTCTAGTGGGTAGAGCAGAAGACCGGCAGTCAGGACTTCTAGCTTCTAGTTACAGCCTTGAACTGACTTGTTGGATCACCTCAAACAGGTCACTTACCTGGAACCAGTCTGTGCCTCAGCTGATCCAGCAATAAAATAATTATAATATTAACATACCTCACGGTAAGGAGATTGCAAAACTGACAAAAAGCTATCCCTGCCTTCTCACTGAGACCTAACTGGCAAGACTATTGTGAACTCTTTCCTCTTGGGAAACCCAATAACAATTATTAGAGAATTATACAAGCCAACTATAGAATTCACTAGGTTAGGTTAAAAAAATTGCAGGCACAATATTATTTAGATTAATCAAGACTAGAGATGACTGAGGGACCTAACCCAACAAAGGGAATGGCCAACCAAGTGGCCAATAATTCCCATTGCTGACAAGGTATTGCATACTGGAAGGAATAGTTTGATCCGCTCACACACTTTGCTGGGTTCTGAACCAGCTCTAACCACTCAAGTAAAAGACTTGGGCATCAGTGTGAACAGTTCAGTGGAAACAACTGCCAGTGCAGCATTGGTCGATCAAATCCACCAAAATGTTAGAATACATCACGAACAGGATGGAAAACAATAATGGAAATATTACTGGGCCATGATGTCAATAAATCAATGGCTTGCCCGCCCCTGGAACGCTGCCTTCAGTACTGTTCGCCCTATCTCTACAGAGAGCTAGCAGAAGTAGAAAGGTTCAGACACAGGTGAGGGAAATGATTAAAGGCATGGAGAGGCTTGTGTAGGAAAAGGGGTTGAAAAGTTTGGAACTGTTTGGTTCAGAGAGGAAACATATAAGAGAGGACATCACATAACAATAAGGCCGGGAGGCTCTAACTCAGAGCTTTGATCAGCGCCACCGTTTGAAGTCTCTGAGTGGTTAATTGCTCCCCGGTGATGAGGGGCGGAGCTAAGCTGAGCTAAGCAGGGATACTTGGTATAAAAAGTCACTTACTAACAGGAGATGCAAACACAGAAAGCTACCAGGAGAGTTCTGGAGGGAGCGGCTTTCCTTCCAGGTTCAGCGCTATGTGTGATATCCAGAGGGCCAGAGATGGAACAGTGGTGGTGACCTGCAATGAATGGGCCACGTTTTCTTTCCTGCCTGAACCCAGAAGGGACAAAGTGCCAGTTGGTGGCTGTGCTGCGGAGAAGATTCCAGGATTCGAGGGGCAAGTAAAAAGAACAGGAGTACTTGTGGCACCTTAGAGACTAACAGATTTATTTGGGCATAAGCTTTCGTGGGCTAAAACCCACTTCATCGGATGCATGCAGTGGATAATACAGTAGGAAGATATATGTACACAGAGAACATGAAAAAATGGGTGTTGCCATACCAATTCTAACAAGACTAGTCAATTAAGGTGGGCTATTATCAGCAGGAGAAAAAAAACGTTTGTAGTGGTAATCAGGATGGCCCATTTCAAACAGTGGACAAGAAGGTGTGAGTAACAGCAGGGGAAAATTAGCATGGGGAA